GGCTCGTCTAATGGGTAGGTGACAGAATCCCCAAGATGTAAAAATTTTAACCTTTGGTGTGGCAGGGAAAGATGTAAAAGTGGCGGGGGAACGGGGGAATCTGCCGGGCTTCTCTATCCCGGGGGAGCTGGAGGGGAAAACCACACCAGGAGTAAGATGTTTGGGGTCTTGACTTTAACCCAAAAAAGATGCAACGTGTTTCGGAGAACAAACGAGATCCGGAATTGACAGGTGCGCCCCTTTTTCAAGCGGGGGTTTCTTAAAGGCTGGGGGGGTGGTGGGGTTAAAAATAGTAATGGGTCTATATGGCCCAGCGGACCAATAACTATTTAGCTACATAATTAGATGGATAAAAAGAAACTAGGGCTACATTCTAATACAAAGGGGAGATGATAAAAGAATACACGGTTCATGGACACAAAAATGCAGCCCGCCCAATGGATGGACTTTTATAATATTTTTTCTGGACTTCCTTTTATATGGACACCTGGATTATTTGGTTACTTTTTTTAGCCTATGTTTTATGTGCCTTTTTCCACGATTCTGGCGATTCACGATTCCGCCGTGAGGACATCGGATGGATGACGAAACTAGTAGGGTGGGGCTTCTTTTGGATGTGACGTCCTGGACGCTCCTTGTAGACTGTCGGCTGTGATATCGCGGTGAAGCGGGCTGTCTCTGTTTTTCTCTTGAGGCTGTCATTGCTGTTGTCGGCTAGGCACCCCTGTTTTGTGAGTGCATTTCTGACGGTTTATTAATAAAACAATTTTGGTTTTAAAAAAACGTACTGCACACCATGATTTCCTTTTTTGATGGATCTCCGCGAAATCATGATTCATATGGTATGGAGACGTGATGACTACCTGCTGTTAAGGCGTATATCCCCAATATTGTGATGACTGGCTGCTTGCAGTATATTGCTACCCAGTTTCGGATTAACTTACTGTTGATCATCGCTCCCAAGAGCAAACGCTTATCTTTGCTGACTTATAATCTGGTCAGCATGGAGCTCTGGTGGAGTGTACCCATTTCATTCGGTGGTGGATTTTTTTGTACGGTGGTTTGATTTATACAAGATTTCAGAACTGCTTAATTACTTTGTTATGGTGGATGGAACTTTTATATAAAATTTTTTCTATCACTGACATCATTAATTTTAAACTAATAATTTTGTATTTACTTATATTTAGCGCACTCTTTGATTTATTCACATGTCCAGTCGTACATTCATATTGTTTCTTAGGTCGCATCATTCAATCAATACATAACAGATCTAATATATATAGATATAATATATACTTTGAGAATCATGACTTAATATCAATGTAAGCAGTTAATTATGTTATCATAATTTACAGGTAATCATCTCCTCATATGGGAATTGAGGGTTGGTCTCTGAATATATATATATTTTTGGGTGGTCAATTATATAGATCTACAGTAAGTACCATATATCTATGTATCATTTCACAACTTGGAAAATACACAGTTGTATCATTTTGTTCTTGTTGGTTTTAATATTCTATTAGTAGATCCTTTCTTTTACTTGTATATTCCCGTGCTATTTTACCGCTTCATATTGTCAGCCCTCTGCTACAATTGGTGGCAATAATGTTATCATGTTTTTGATTATTATTATTATTAGAGATGAGCGAAGTATTCAAAAAATTTGATTCGACTGATTCGGCGAATTCGTGGACAATATTCGATTCGAGTCGAATATATTCGCGTGGCACATGGCAGAGTGTGGGAGCAATGGGAGGCGGTACAGGGACCCAGGTCACACTGTGGGACCAGCAGCAGCGTGACCAGGCGGTACGGGGGCCCATGGCAGATTTGGGGCCTGTTCATCCCATAGTCCTGCCGACTCACGAATAGCGTGCCTCCTCAAAATGGCCTGAGCAAGCGCAGAGGAGTACCTTTATCCGCTTTTAACATCAGGAAATCTGTGATGGCCTTTCGCTGTTCGTAAAGGCGGTACAGGGACATATGTAGGTTGAATTCACCTTGTTGCAACGTCACAGCATGAGGAGTCGGTACGGGGGCCCATGGCAGATTTGGTGCCTGGCAGCAGCAATGGGAGGCCCGTAATCTGCCAGCAACCTATGTCAAAAAATTGAACACACCAGCAGTGTGAGGAGACCTCAAAGTGGCACATGGCAGAGTGGGAGCAATGGGAGGGCGGTACAGGGACCCAGGTCACACTGTGGGCTCCAGCAGCAGCGTGACCAGGCGGTACGGGGGCCCATGGCCGATTTGGGCCTGGCGGCACCTATGGAAGGCCTGTAATCTGCCAGCAACCTATGACAAAATGGAAAACCGCAGGAGTGTGAGGAGACCTCAAAGTGGCACATGGCAGAGTGGGAGCAATGGGAGGTCACACTGTGGGACCAGCAGCAGCGTGACCAGGCGGTACGGGGGCCCATGGCCGATTTGGGGCCTGGCGGCACCTATGGAGGCCTGTAATCTGCCAGCAACCTATGACAAAATGGAAAACCGCAGGAGTGTGAGGAGACCTCAAAGTGGCACATGGCAGAGTGGAAGCAATGGGAGGCCGTACAGGGACCCAGGTCACACTGTGGGACCAGCAGCAGCGTGACCAGGCGGTACGGGGGCCCCATGGCCGATTTGGGGCCTGGCGGCACCTATGGAGGCCTGTAATCTGCCAGCAACCTATGTCAAAATGGAAAACCGCAGGAGTGTGAGGAGACCTCAAAAAGTGGCACATGGCAGAGTGGAAGCAATGGGAGGCCGTACAGGGACCCAGGTCACACTGTGGGACCAGCAGCAGCGTGACCAGGCGGTACGGGGGCCCATGGCCGATTTGGGGCCTGGCGGCACCTATGGAAGGCCTGTAATCTGCCAGCAACCTATGTCAAAATGGAAAACCGCAGGAGTGTGAGGAGACCTCAAAGTGGCACATGGCAGAGTGGAAGCAATGGGAGGCCGTACAGGGACCCAGGTCACACTGTGGGACCAGCAGCAGCAGCGTGACCAGGCGGTACGGGGGCCCATGGCCGATTTGGGGCCTGGCGGCACCTATGGGAGGCCTGTAATCTGCCAGCAACCTATGACAAAATGGAAAAACCGCAGGAGTGTGAGGAGACCTCAAAGTGGCACATGGCAGAGTGGGAAGCAATGGGAGGCCGTACAGGGACCCAGGTCACACTGTGGGACCAGCAGCAGCGTGACCAGGCGGTACGGGGGCCCATGGCCGATTTGGGGCCTGGCGGCACCTATGGAAGGCCTGTAATCTGCCAGCAACCTATGACAAAATGGAAAACCGCAGGAGTGTGAGGAGACCTCAAAGTGGCACATGGCAGAGTGGAAGCAATGGGAGGCCGTACAGGGACCCAGGTCACACTGTGGGCCAGCAGCAGCGTGACCAGGCGGTACGGGGGCCCATGGCCGATTTGGGGCCTGGCGGCACTATGGCACCTATATGGAGGCCTGTAATCTGCCAGCAACCTATGACAAAATGGAAAACCGCAGGAGTGTGAGGAGACCTCAAAGTGGCACATGGCAGAGTGGGAGCAATGGGAGGCCGTACAGGGACCCAGGTCACACTGTGGGACCAGCAGCAGCGTGACCAGGCGGTACGGGGGCCCATGGCCGATTTGGGGCCTGGCGGCACCTATGGGAGGCCTGTAATCTGCCAGCAACCTATGAAAAATGGAAAACCGCAGGAGTGTGAGGAGACCTCAAAGTGGCACATGGCAGAGTGGAAGCAATGGGAGGCCGTACAGGGACCCAGGTCACACTGTGGGACCAGCAGCAGCGTGACCAGGCGGTACGGGGGCCCATGGCCGATTTGGGGCCTGGCGGCACCTATGGGAGGCCTGTAATCTGAGCAACCTATGACAAAATGGAAAACCGCAGGAGTGTGAGGAGACCTCAAAGTGGCACATGGCAGAGTGGAAGCAATGGGAGGCCGTACAGGGACCCAGGTCACACTGTGGGCCAGCAGCAGCGTGACCAGGCGGTACGGGGGCCCATGGCCGATTTGGGGCCTGGCGGCACCTATGGGAGGCCTGTAATCTGCCAGCAACCTATGACAAAATGGAAAACCGCAGGAGTGTGAGGAGACCTCAAAGTGGCACATGGAGTGGGAGCAATGGGAGGCCGTACAGGGACCCAGGTCACACTGTGGGCTCAGCAGCAGCGTGACCAGGCGGTACGGGGGCCCATGGCCGATTTGGGGCCTGGCGGCACCTATGGGAGGCCTGTAATCTGCCAGCAACCTATGACAAAATGGAAAACCGCAGGAGTGTGAGGAGAGACCTCAAAGTGGCACATGGCAGAGTGGGAGCAATGGGAGGCCGTACAGGGACCCAGGTCACACTGTGGGACCCCAGCAGCAGCGTGACCAGGCGGTACGGGGGGGGCCCATGGCCGATTTGGGGCCTGGCGGCACCTATGGGAGGCTGTAATCTGCCAGCAACCTATGAAAAAATGGAAAACCCAGCAGGAGTGTGAGGAGACCTCAAAGTGGCACATGGCAGAGTGGGAGAGTGGAAGCAATGGGAGGCCGTACAGGGACCCAGGTCACACTGTGGGACCAGCAGCAGCGTGACCAGGCGGTACGGGGGCCCATGGCCGATTTGGGGCCTGGCACACCTATGGGAGGCCTGTAATCTGCCAGCAACCTATGTCAAAATGGAAAACCGCAGGAGTGTGAGGAGACCTCAAAGTGGCACATGGCAGAGTGGGAGCAATGGGAGGCCGTACAGGGACCCAGGTCACACTGTGGGACCAGCAGCAGCGTGACCAGGCGGTACGGGGGCCCATGGCCGATTTGGGGCCTGGCGCACCTATGGGAGGCCTGTAATCTGCCAGCAACCTATGTCAAAATGGAAAACCGCAGGAGTGTGAGGAGACCTCAAAGTGGCACATGGCAGAGTGGGCAGCAAGCAATGGGAGGCCGTACAGGGACCCAGGTCACACTGTGACCCAGCAGCAGCAGCGTGACCAGGCGGTACGGGGGCCCATGGCCGATTTGGGGCCTGGCGGCACCTATGGGAGGCCTGTAATCTGCCAGCAACCCTATGTCAAAAAATTGGAAAACCAGGAGTGTGAGGAGACCTCAAAGTGGCACATGGCAGAGTGTGGCGATGGAAGCAATGGGAGGGAGGCCGTACAGGGACCCAGGTCACACTGTGGGACCAGCAGCAGCAGCAGCCAGGCGGTACGGGGGCCCATGGCCGATTTGGGGCTGGCAGCAGCACCTATGGGAGGCCCCTGTAATCTGCCAGCAACCTATGACAAAAATGGAAAACACCGCAGGAGTGTGAGGAGACCTCAAAGTGGCACATGGCAGAGTGGGGCAGATGGGACAGGAGCAATGGGAGGCCGTACAGGGACCCAGGTCACACTGTGGGCCAGCAGCAGCAGACCAGGCGGTACCAGGGGGGGGCCATGGCAGATTTGGGGCCTGGCAGCACCTATGGGATGGGAGGCCCGTAATCTGCCAGCACCCTATGACAAAAAATGGAACCCACCAGCAGTGGGGCAGGCAGACCTGCATATCTGGCACACGGTTTTCCCAGGCCAGTGAATGGCGATGGAGCAGCAGCTGACGCAACGCTGTAGTCCCAACATGGACCCATGGCCACTCTGGACTTTCTGGCAGCAGTCATGGCAGCATGAGGAGGCGGTATAGGGGGCCATGGCAGATTAGGGGCCTGGCAGCAGCTATGGGAGGCCCCCGTAATCTGCCAGCACCCTATGTCAAAAAATTCAACACAGCAGTGGTGGTAGTGGCACAGCAGTGTGAGCTGACCTGAATGTGGCACTGACATGGCAGAGTGTGGGGCCGATGGCAGATTAGGGGCCTGCAGCAATGGGAGGCCGTACAGGGACCCATGAGAGACTCTGGACTTGGCAGCAGCAGCATGAGGAGGGGTATATAGGGGCCCATGGCAGATTAGGGGCCTGGCAGGCAGCAGCTATGGGAGGCCCGTAATCTGCCAGCACCCTATGTCAAAAAATTCAACACACCAGCAGTGTGTGAGAGAGACTGAAAGTGGCACATGGCAGAGTGTGGCGATGGAGACAGCAGCAATGGGAGGCCGTACAGGGACCCATGAGAGACTCTGGACTTGGCAGCAGCATGAGGAGGCGGTATATAGGGGCCCATGGCAGATTAGGGGCCTGGCAGCAGCTATGGGAGGCCCGTAATCTGCCAGCACCCTATGTCAAAAAATTCAACACACCAGCAGTGTGAGGAGACCTGAAAGTGGCACATGGCAGAGTGTGGCGATGGAGACAGCAGCAGCAATGGGAGGCCGTACAGGGACCCATGAGAGACTCTGGACTTGGCAGCAGCATGAGGAGGCGGGCGGTATATAGGGGCCCATGGCAGATTAGGGGCCTGGCAGCAGCTATGGGAGGCCCGTAATCTGCCAGCACCCTATGTCAAAAAATTCAACACACCAGCAGTGTGAGGAGACCTGAAAGTGGCACATGGCAGAGTGTGGCGATGGAGACAGCAGCAATGGGAGGCCGTACAGGGACCCATGAGAGACTCTGGCATGAGAGACTCTGGACCTTGGCAGCAGGGAGGCCCGTAGGCCAGGCGGTATATAGGGGCCCATGGCAGATTAGGGGCCTGGCAGCAGCTATGGGAGGCCCGTAATCTGCCAGCACCCTATGACAAAAAATGGAACACACCAGCAGTGTGTGAGGAGACCTGAAAGTGGCACATGTTTGGGCATGATTCATGGCGGATTTAGTCAGTTGTGTCAGGAACTGGTGGTTTGAAATCCAGACTAATCCACGCCTGATTCATTTTCACAAACGTGAGTCTCTCCACACTTTGGGTGGACAGTCGTGTCCTCCGCGGAGTTACAATACCTCCTGCCGCACTAAACACGCGCGCGCTCCGATGCCACGCTACTGGCCGGGCATGACAGCCTTTCAAGGGCAAATTCAGCTAGTTGGGGCCAAAGGTCAAGTTTCGTTGCCCAGTAGTCAAGGGGATTGTCTACCTCGGTTGGCAGGGTGCTGTCCAAGTAGGCCCAAGCCTGTTGTTTGAGCTCCTGCTCCAGGTCCACCTGATGCTGCTGCTGCTGCTGCTGCTGCGCTGGTTAGTAGTTTCCTCACTGCGCTGGTGAAGAAAGCTACTCATCATCGACTGCAGACTGAGGCAGCCGCTGCTGGTGGAGCTGCCACTGCCTACCCCCCACCCCCTCCCCTGCTGCCATGGCAGCGGAACGCGAGCGCACAGGGCCCACAGTGTCTGAGGATGGACGTTGGCGCAGAAAGGCAGAGACCAACTGACTACATAGGTGGTTTTTTATAGTACGTAATTTTGGCCTCCCTCTCAGCAGGTGTGAAAAAGGCCACCATTTTGGAACGATAGCGAGGGTCCAACAAGGTGGACAGCCAAAAGTCATCCCTCTGTCTGATGGTTATTATTCGGCTGTCGCTACGCAAGCAACCGAGCATGCTATGGGCCATTTGCGCCAAGGAATGCGAGGGACTCCCTGCCTCCATCTCTCCACAGCATACTGCCACGGTGCGTCTGGGTCCTCTGTCTCCTCCTCCTCCTCCTCTACCAGATGCTCCTGCTCCTCCACTCCTGTCCGCTGAGTGGAAAAACCACCCATTTCACTCAATAATTCCTGAGCACAAATGTCCTCCTCTACCTCCTCCTCTTCTTCCTGTCCTGCCCCCACAGGGGTCATGTGGCGTTGAGATCTGTGCGCCACGTCTACCGCACCCTGACCAGCCATTGTTAACAGCATTTGTTCCAGGACGTGCAACAGAGGAATGACGTCGTTCATCCCATAGTCCTGCCGACTCACGAATAGCGTGGCCTCCTCAAAGGGCCTGAGCAAGCGGCAGGTGTCACGCATGAGCTGCCAATGGCTGACATCGAAGTTACACAGGGGAGTACCTTTTTATCCGCTTGTAACATCAGGAAATCGGTGATGATGGCCTTTCGCTGCTCGTAAAGGCGGTCTAACATGTGTAGGGTTGAATTCCACCTTGTTGCAACGTCGCAGATCAGGCGATGCTGTGGAATTCCGTTCTGCCGCTGCAGCTCAATGAGGGTGTGCTTTGCGGTGTAGGAATGGCTGAAATGCATGCAAAGTTTACGTGACATTTTAAGGATGTCTTGCAGTGGGATGGTGGATTTTAGGAACCGCTTGACAACCAGATTGAACACGTGAGCCATGCATGGCGCATGGCACAACCTTCCTTGACGCAGAGCAGACACCATGTTCTTTCCGTTGTCGGTCAACATGGTTCCGATTTTCAGTTTGCGCGGAGACAGCCATCTGTCGATTTCTCTGTTCATTACACTCAGAAGTTCCTCCCCTGTGTGACTACGTTCGCCAAGGCATACCAGGTGCAGCACAGCGTGACACCGTTGCGCCCTGCATGTGATATGCCGGTCGGGTAATGGGACTTGGCACGGGGGGTGGCGGCTGAGGACACGGCGGAAGAAGAGGTGGTAGAGGCGGACATGTTTGCTGGACCAAGGACGTGCAAACGTGGTGGAGGCAAAAGCGTCGTGACCTGTCCAAGTTGCTGGTGCGGCTGTGCCGGCACCACGTTCACCCAGTGGGCCGTAAATGACATGTACTGTCCCTGACCGTAGTTACAGCTCAGCTCCACACGTCGGCGCTGCCGTGCACTTTGGCAGAGACAGAGACCGACATGCTCAAAGACTGGCCCACCATCTCTTCTACATGTGAATGCAGGGCTGGCACTGCCTTTTTGGCGAAGAAATGAAATGACGGCTTGGCACTCTCCACCGCGGCGCGGCACAAGCCATCATTTCTCGGAAAGGTGCTGAGTCCACCAGTTGGAAAGGGAGGGACTGCAGCACCAGCAACTTGGACAGGAGGACGTTCAGCTTTTGCACCGTCGGGTGCGTGCTCGCAAACTGTTGTGTCTCTTGGAAACGGATTCCAAGAAAGACTGCTGACGGAATCCGAGAAGAGGAGTAGTAGCAGGAGAAGGAGCATCTGAACGAGCGGAAGATGCCAACGAGCGACAACTCCCCTCAGCAGAGGTGTTGGAGCCTTGACTGGCTGATAGAGGGCGATTGACGACGTCGGGTGACGGAGCAAGTAACGGAGCGGGTGATGGGTGATGGAGCGGGGGGGGGCAGGCAGAACCGCCGTATCTTTATCACGGTTTTCCCAGGCCACCGAATGGTGACGCTGCATATGCTGACGCAACGCTGTAGTCCCAACATGGGCCCCCTGGCCACGCTTGCATTTCTGGCCACATAGTCGACATACGGCTACGTTTACTTCCTCGGGCGGCTTGACGAAAAAAATTGCCACACCACCGAGTAGGAAACTTTGCCCCCGCTACTCCTCACTGGCTGACTGCTACTTCCTCCGTGCGCACCGGCACCACTACTGGCCGTGGTGGTAGGCTGCTGCAGTGGAGCTGGTGCTCTACTCCGTGGCCGTTTGGCTCCACTGACACTGATGCGACCCTGCTGCCTCCTGGGCAACCCACCGACTGTTTCGCTCGCTGCCAAGCTGGCACCCTCTTCTCCTGATGATGCGGAAGAAATTGCCTGATGACGACGAGGCAGCCAAGTGCGATCAACCTCCTCATCATCAAGTAGGGTCTCCGCCTCACTACTAGCCCCCTCGGCTGCGTCTGTCTGGGTCAGGAGACAGACCTGTCTCTAGACCGGCTACCGGCTACCGAGCCACTCTCCTCGCCAGTACTTGTTCGCCTGGCTGCTGAAAAGGCGGATGTCTCCCCCGTTCCTGACCGCCCTCTGTTAGCTCTTCCTCACTGTACAGTGGGGCTGAGCCCACAGCATGCGATACTTCGCTTGGTGAGGGAACAGCAAAGGGAGGGGGCAGGTAGAGGACACGTGATTTCAGTGGGCTTGCTCCCGGGCCATGCCAACTAACGGTTGTGTCTGACGTACCCACCGACCGTTGGCTGTAGGTGTCAGAGGTGACCTGGGAAGAGGAAGACGACCGAGCCAACCAATCGATGACGGCAGGGTTGTCGGTGGAGACACGACCGCTGGATGACACCGGGAGCACTGGCCTCTGGCTGCGAATAGTGCTGCCTCGACCCCTTCCTCTGCTGCCACGTCTGCTCGCTCCTAAAACATTGCCTCCTCTGCCACTCCTCTGCATGTTGTCTGACATACTCTTTAATTCAACGATTCTGTGTCCCTGAGTAACAATTCTGTGTCCCTGAGTAAACAATTCTGTGTCTGTCCCTGAGTAACAATTCTGTGGCCCTAAGTAACGGTTCTGTGGCCCTCAGTAACAATTCTGTGTCCCTGAGTAACAATTTCTGTGGCCCTAAGTAACGGTCTGTGGCCCTCAGTAACAATTCTGTGTCCCTCAGTAACAATTCTGTGTCTGTCCCTGTGGCCCTTAACGTTCTGTGGCCCTAAGTAACGGTTCTGTGGCCCTCAGTAACAATTCTGTGTCCCTGATAACAATTTCTGTGGCCCTAAGTAACGGTTCTGTGGCCCTCAGTAACAATTCTGTGTCCCTCAGTAACAATTCTGTGTCTGTCCCTGAGTAACAATTCTGTGGCCCTAAGTAACGGTTCTGTGGCCCTCAGTAACAATTCTGTGTCCCCTGAGTAACAATTCTGTGGCCCTAAGTAACGTTTCTGTGGCCCTAAGTAACAATTCTGTGGCCCTCAGTAACAATTCTGTGTGTCCCTGAGTAACAATTCTGTGGCCCTAAGTAACAATTCTGTGGCCCTCAGTAACAATTCTGTGTCCCTCAGTAACAATTCTGTGTCTGTCCCTGAGTAACAATTCTGTGGCCCTAAGTAACGTTTCTGTGGCCCTAAGTAACAATTCTGTGTCCCTGAGTAACAATTCTGTGTCTGTCCCTGAGTAACAATTCTGTGGCCCTAAGTAACAATTCTGTGGCCCTAAGTAACAGTTCTGTGGCCCTCAGTAACAATTCTGTGTCTGTCCCTGAGTAACAATTCTGTGGCCCTAACTAACGTTTCTGTGGCCCTAAGTAACAATTCTGTGGCCCTCAGTAACAATTCTGTCTGTCCCTGAGTAACAATTCTGTGGCCCTAAGTAACGTTTCTGTGGCCCTAAGTAACAATTCTGTGGCCCTCAGTAACAATTCTGTGTCTGTCCCTGAGTA